AGTAATCTCCCGACAATTCCCAAAGGTTCGAGAGAACGAGTCACGTGACCTCGCTGACGCAACAATATCAACAAGTTATGTCTCTAAGGGACTGGCTTATCTAGGTCTAAGTAAAATATCAACAAGTTATGTTTCTAAGGGCCTGGCTTATATAGGTCTAAGTAAAATATCAACAAGTTATGTCTCTAAGGGCCTAGCTTATATAAGTCTAAGTAAAATATCAACAAGTTATGTCTCTAAGGGCCTAGCTTCTCTAGTTTAAATAGTAACAAATATTATTTTTTCTCCGAGTGTGTAATTGATATAAGCGAAATGTCAAGAATTACTACCTTTGAGGGCTTACATCAAATATGATCCCACAAAAGTTTGTTTTCAACAGACGTTTTCTGAAAACATCAACCAATAAATTATTTTCTGTAAGGGTCGAGTTGAAATATCTTCAAGTTTCTGGCTATTAACAGAAATGAAATATGTTTTTACTTACTTCTCTGGACCATCCAATACTTTCGAACTTATCAATTTCGTTGGAAATATAATTTGAAATCACTATGACTACTAATGGTGTCATTAATTGTTCATTACAATAATTATTAATTACTTTGTCAGAAAAAAGCATAAGTATAAAACGTGTGATTTATAACGGCTTTTTTTTTAACTGTTGGCCTCACCTCCTTATTTTTGTACGAACGGAACAGTAGACACAAAATGGAGTTGAGTTGTAAACTTTATTGTTTCAAGGTTTACTGTCACACATTTAGTGAGTTGAATAAATGACATTTTAATTGAAATAAAATGTAAAACTCAATGTTAGAGGATTAAAAATGATTTTATAAATGATATGAAAAGTTTCTTTTACAATCAGAAAAAGTGTCCCTACGAATTTATAAAAAAAAACAACTAAAATCTAAAGATGTCAGTTTTATACTCTCGATAAAAGTAAGGAAGAAAATAAAGTGACTATAAAATATAGCCGTGATATCGAAGGGAACGGGAACTGAGCGCGAGACGGTAATTCCCTCTATAGATGTATAGGGGCTCTGTTCACGTGTTGGTTTTATCAATATGTTTTAACACAATAACAAACGAATACACAGCCTTCTTTATATAAAGAGTTTCAGTATTGTTTATAGTTTCAGAAACACCACTATATATATGTTCTAGCGCCACGGGTGTTGTTAAATTATAAATGAAGAATAACTGAGAGATTATATTACAGTAAAACACCTATAATAAGCCACAGAAACGGAATTTTACTGAAAACATTTACTTTTAACTTTCTGTTTATCTGAGAAATCTCAGGGTAAAAGCAAACATGTTTACAGTGTTTGATAAACCGATATACAACATTATGTTTGAACACTAATAGTGACATTTTCACGATTTTTCCGTGATGAATTAATCAGTACAATCTGATACAAACTGACATGCTGATATACAAAATCAACTCAAACTTTTTGTATTCTTAATATTTCGTTTTGATTTTGATTTTTTTTGTTTTAATCAAGCTAAGATGTAATATATCATAACTGAATACGAACTATTCTATTTAAAATGTCATTATTAGATGTAAAAGAAATTATTGTACAAATATATTAGTAGATGAAAAATATTTTATAAGAATTTAAAATCTCATAAGCGGAAGTGAAATACTGTCAATGTATTCAAATTGTCAACTTTGTATATGAAACATTGTACAAATATTTCGACTGCCATTACCGGCTGTAAAACTATTGTTGGAATATTTAAATTTTCATTATTGTGTATGAAATATTGTTGGAATATTCAACTTCTATACTTCGATGTAAAACATTGTACAAATATTTCGACTGTCATTACCGGCTGTAAAACTATTGTTGGAATATTTAAATTTTCATTATTGTGTATGAAATATTATTTAACTTACGTACTTGGATGTAAAATATTATACGATTATTTTTTTGAAACCTTTTAACTTTAAAGGCCTAACGGCAGGTGGCGATTGTGCGATTGTGAATCAAATAATTTAGCTCAAGTTCGTTTAAGTTTTAATTGAAAATCCAATGTATTTTGAAATCTATTTTGGATAATCAAATTACTAATATAATATTTTAAGTTTGTTTGAATTCCAGCTCATTTTATTTTTACATCTATAAGTACCATATTGCAGGATAAATTACACTAAAAATGCATACACCAATTACACGAACATAGACTATACAATCTGGAATGTAAGAATATTATGTTTACTAGGGCACTTCATTTGTTGACCAGAAGATGTCGCTTTACTCCTGGAGAGTCACGTTGGTTTTCTATACTTCGACATATGTAGGCGGGAAAATAAGCAATCTTTCAACATAATAAGCTGAGCCTAACGTAGAATTAGTTATTTTAGTATGTCAATTTAGGCAAAAAAGTTAATATACCACGTAAAGTACGATAAGATTTCAGTGATTCTAACAGATGAAACAATCCTTTGTCACGTTGTTAATATACCACGTAAAGTACGATAAGATTTCAGTAATTCTATCAGCTGAAACAATCCTGTGTCACGTTCTTAATATACCACGTAAAGTACGATAAGATTTCAGTGATTCTATCAGATGAAACAATTCTTTGTCACGTTGTTAATATACCACGTAAAGTACGATAAGATTTCAGTGATTCTATCAGATGAAACAATTCTTTGTCACGTTGTTAATATACCACGTAAAGTACGATAAGATTTCAGTGATTCTACCAGATGAAACAATCCTGTGTCACGTTGTTAATATACCACATAAAGTACGATAAGATTTCAGTAATTCTACCAGATGAAACAATCCTGTGTCACGTTGTTAATATACCACGTAAAGTACGATAAGTTTTCAGTAATTCTATCAGATGAAACAATCTTGTGTCACGTTATTAATATACCACGTAAAGTACGATAAGATTTCAGTAATTCTATCAGATGAAACAATCTTGTGTCTCTTATCGTACTTTACGTGGTATATTAACAACGTATCTGATAGAATTACTGAAAGAAACAACCCTTTGTCACGTTGTTAATATACCACGTAAAGTACGATAAGATTTCAGTGATTCTATCAGATGAAACAATCTTTGTCACGTAGTTAATATACAACGTAAAGCACGATAAGATTTCATTAATTCTATCAGATGAAACAATCGTTTGTCACGCTGTTAATATACCACGTAAAGCACGATAAGATTTCAGTGATTCTATCAGTTGGAGTTGGATTATTTCCTGTAGCTAGCTGTGCTAATACTGAGATTTCATTAAATAATGATTTAATTGACGATAAGTGTAAATTTATTTTCGGAAATTTTATTCATCCAAGCTTGGACAAACATTAGTGTTCGTTTCATAAGTTCATAATAGTTGTCTTATAGTAATCAATGTGGCATAATGAAAATTTATCTTCTTAAATATTTCGAAACAACAACTCGATCCCGGTATATACTTGCTCTGTTTAAAACTTTCAGGGTTGACCGAAGGATGGAAATCGTTTTCAATACAGACGACAAACAACTATAGATAGATTTTTTTCTTCTGAGAACTGTGGGTATTGTAAGCGAAGGACACAATCTGGAGCTTATTGTGATGGTTATCTGCCTATAGAATCTTGGTTCTGGTGATAAAGTTGTTTTAAAGCTGCTTGGATATTCTAGTACAATTTAACAACCCAAATGTAGATTTTGATGAAACACTATTCGCTTAAAGCTGATCTTGTCACAACATTGAAGACATCATATATATTTAAGACTGTTCTTGTAACAATGAAAATACCACATTTGTTAAAGACAGCTTTTCTAACAATGTAAATACCACACTTGTTAAAGACAGCTTTTGTAACAATGTAAATACCACACTTGTTAAAGACCGTTCTTGTAACAATAAAAACACTACACTTATATAAGACTGTTCTTGTAACAATGAAAATACCACACCTGTTAAAGACTGTTCTTCTAACAATGAAAATACCACACTTGTTAAAGACTGCTTTTGTAACAATGTAAATACCACACTTGTTAAGACTGCTTTTGTAACAATGTAAAAACCACACTTGTTAAAGACTGCTTTTGTAACAACGTAAATACAACACTTGTTAGAGACTGCCCTTGTAACAATGAAAACACCACGCTTATATAAGACTGTTCTTGTAACAATGAAAATACCACACTTGTTAAAGACTGCTTTTGTAACAATGTAAACACCACACTTATATAAGACTGCTTTTGTAACAATGTAAATACCGCACTTGTTAAAGACTGCTTTTGTAACAATTAAAACAACTTACTTATGTAAGAATGCTTTGTAACAATGAAAACATCACACTTTTTTCAAGTGCTGTTTTGAAAGTGAAAGCATAAGATCCATAGAATTCAAATTCCAACAGTAAAACTTTACTTTAGACACACTGTGTTGTTGCAGTAATCTTTCTTCAGTAACATGATACAACTCCCTAATAATACTCCAACAGCTATATCTCTCCACCAACTTTCTCCAAGAAAATCGTTATCCACGAATTAGAAGAATTGTGAACAACTGACATGAACTGGAAGGATTTTGAACAATTAGCTGTTTACTAGAATCCTAAAAGCAAGAAAATTTCGTATCATGTTGAACAAATTATAGGGCACCAGAACAGTCTCAGAACAAATTATAGGGCACCAGAACAGTCTCAGAACAAATTATAGGCCACCAGAACAGTCTCAGAACAAATTATAGGCCGCCAGAACAGTCTCAGAACAAATTATAGGCCACCAGAACAGTCTCAGTTTTACGATTGTGGTTCAGTTGTCCCAATATTTACTTCTAACATCTTTTAATTTTGCATTGAATTACTTGAATTTAAGTGTAGAGGGAAAGGGAAAATACAATATTTGGAGAGCATTCAGCAGTCGTGTGAACATCATCACATTTAAGCTACAAATCATAGTGATGATGTACAGCCATTGTCAATAGAAATAATTATTCGTACGACACCTACGTTTCTGTCCATTTTATCCTCAGTTCTTGGGTTGTGCTATACGCCCTTAGTAACCTTTCGTTTTGTTGCTCCACACGAAGACGAAGGCCTTTCAAAGTACGCAACAAAAGCATCCTGCGATATTCTAAAAGCTCCTGATGAAGCATCATCCCTTCTTCCTTCCGTAACTGCTGTTCTTCACGAATCTGGTTGATTTTCTCCTGGACGAGACAGCGCTCGGCTCGTAAGCGCTTCACTTTGTCGTCCAGTGATTCCGAAATGTTGTTGATGTGAATCGTGGAAGTTCTGGAAGTGGTGCTAGAACACGCACCATCTACCACCGGATTACTTAACACTTCCAGAATAGAGTTCTTGTCTTGTTCACCGTTTTCAGAAAGCTGTTCAGGAAACGCTTCATTAACGTCAAATGTTGGATTCTGTGGTCCGTGCTTACTAGAGAAAGGCAATGCTGGAGGACCAAGTCCTTGAATGATCCGGAGGTCTGAGCTAGATTTGGATGTGGTACTTGACAGCTGGTCAGAGTCTCTTGTGATCGAAACTTCAGGGAATGATAATTGTGGAGTTGAAATCAGGCTAACGTCACGACCACGTCCTATGGACGACGATAAAACACACGGTCCAAGTGTTCTATTTTGTGTCTCGGTTGTTTCGGAACTCTCGGAAGGACTTGAGGACGGAGAACTGCCCCAACCGCTGTCCACGGAACTACAGATGGAACTTCTAGTGGAACTAAGCCACGGATTGGTTCGAATACGTGATCGCTGTCGTGGAGAATTGACGTCATGCACGGCAGCGAGATCTAAGAAGCTCGTGCGAATGTTAGGCACTTTCTTCACTTGTCTTGAGAGGGGTTGAGGGGTATAACATCCCCCTGGGAGTTGAGTTGCAACTTGTTGGGAGAAACAACTGGTATAAGTGTTATCGTTCACATCTGGGTGTGACAACCTTTCTGGTTCATGTGTCCGTGGCTCTTTCTCTCTCTCCTTGCTCCCCTTCCGTCGGGAGCGACTGAAGTGTCCCTCCATCCACTTCATCAGCTTCATGACAGTACAGCCGAGTGTCAGGTCGCTCTACTGAAAATAAATATATATATATATGTCATGAGATTCAATGTTTGAGTTTATATACAAAAAACAACTAAATAATAGAAAGCTATTTACGCAAAAAAAAATATTTCTCCAAATAATTACTTCCCTGTCATCTACAAATAGTATTTATGTGTATTTCTAATGTTCTGCACGAAAAATGTTCGTCGCAGCTAAGTGAGCAAACTTTGTTGGCACAATATGTAACTTTATTTTACTTGCATAGAACCGTTCAGAAAAGCTATGACGTCACGTTGAGGGCTGAGCTAACCATGTAACAATAATAATCTGTAGACACGTCATCATAACGTCAGATTGGAGGTTTATAAGGTTATCATAGCTAAATGTGTAACAGTAATAGCCTGTAGACACGTCACCATAACGTCAAGTTGAGGGTTTATTGAGTTATCACAGCTAAACGTGTAACAGTAATAACCTGTAGACAAGTCACCATAACGTCAAATTGAAGGTTTATAAGGTTATCACAGCTAAACGTGTAACAGTAATAACCTGTAGATACGTCACCATAACGTCAAGTTGAGGGTTTATTGAGTTATCACAGCTAAACGTGTAACAGTAATAACCTGTAGGCAAGTCACCATAACGTCAAGTTGAGGGTTTATTTGGTTATCACAGCTAAACGTGTAACAGTAATAACCTGTAGACAAGTCACCATAACGTCAAGTTCAGTATTTACTGGGTTATCACAGCTAAACGTGTAACAGTAATAACCTGTAGACAAGTCACCATAACGTCAAATTCAGTATTTACTGGGTTATCACAGCTAAACGTGTAACAGTAATAACCTCTTTGTATCCAAAAGAAGAGCACAGAAACTAATGTTTAGTAATTTTTATCAAAGTCCAGACACTTTCTGATCCATTTTCACACATTTAGAGAAATGTCATGGTGCTTAAACCTCTTCATAAGCCTTTATATTGTTGTTTCAATATTTTCATAGTTTTCACGGTTAAAATTCAAGCTATTTCTATAGTAAGTTGGATAAGTAGAACTGGATCAGAAACAAAGACAAACAGACGTCTTCTACACTGGCAAAAGAAGCAAACTTGTAGAAATAACTAACTTGGTAAAGCAGAAATTCAAGACAACATTGACACGCCATTCACTATTTTTATACACATTAGCGTTAAAGTACCGTCTAGTGCTAACATGTTAGGGTTAAAGAACATTCTAGTGCTAACATATGTAGGTTAAATTACCTTCTAATGCTAACACATTAAGGTTAAAGTACCTTCTAGTGCTTACACATTAAGGTTAAAGTACCTTCTAGTGCTAACATGTTAGGGTTAAAGAACCTTCTAGTGCTAACATATGTAGGTTAAATTACCTTCTAATACTAACACATTAAGGTTAAAGTACCGTCTAGTGCTAACATATTAGGGTTAAAGAACCTTCTAATGCTAACATATGTAGGTTAAATTACCTTCTAGTGCTAACACATTAAGGTTAAAGTACCTTCTAGTGCTAACACATTAAGGTTAAAGTACCTTCTAGTGCTAACATGTTAGGGTTAAATTACCTTCTAATGCTAACACATTAGCGTTAAAGTATCGTCTAGTGCTAACACATTAAGATTAAAGTACTTTCTAGTGGCAATCAGTCAGGTTATTGGTTAGAAATACGCTTCATTTGTGTGCCGGGAATATTCAAGACAGATTGAATGTCCACTTCTTCAGTGCCATCGCAGAAGGAAAGGTCAAGTTCGATACTCGGATTCCAGTTTGGTTACTACTGTAAAGGTCAAGTTCAACACTCGGATTCCAGTTTGGTTACTACTGTAAAGGTCAAGTTCAACACTCGGATTACAGTTTTGTTACTACTGTAAAGGTCAAGTTCAACACTCGGATTCCAGTTTGGTTACTACTGTAAAGGTCAAGTTCAACACTCGGATTCCAGTTTGGTTACTACTGTAAAGGTCAAGTTCAACACTCGGATTACAGTTTGGTTACTACTGTAAAGGTCAAGTTCAACACTCGGATTCCAGTTTGGTTACTACTGTAAAGGTCAAGTTCAACACTCGGATTCCAGTTTGGTTACTACTGTAAAGGTCAAGTTCAACACTCGGATTCCAGTTTGGTTACTACTGTAGAATGAGAATTCTTAGACAGGTTTTCTTTGTTTATAACCACAAAACTATAAAAATGGACCATTTGTGCTGGGCCAACTGCGAGTATCGAAACTCAGTTTTTAGCGTGATAAGACTTAACGCTAAGCCACCTTGTAACTATTGTGGCTAAATGTGATAGGTATGATGCATGAACCTTAACATGTGAAATCTTACATGGTAATTTATTCTTGGTAAAATTGCTTAATAGGACCAACTTTGTCTGGTATGCTTGGGAAAACGCCCGAAAACACCGCTAAAAGCGAGGAGAGAAATTGATGACGTAAGACAGAGTGGTAACAGAGGAGGATACAAATTGATGACGTAAGACAGAGTGGTAACAGAGGAGGATACAAATTGATGACATAAGACAGAGTGATAACAGAGGAGGATACAACTTGATGACCTAAGACAGAGTGGTAACAGAGGAGGACACAAATTGATGACCTAAGACAGAGTGGTAACAGAGGAGGACACAAATTGATGACGTAAGACAGAGTGGTAACAGAGGAGGATACAAATTGATGACGTAAGACAGAGCGGTAACAGAGGAGGATACAAATTGATGACCTAAGACAGAGTGGTTACAGAGAAGAATACAAATTGATGACCTAAGACAGAGTGGTAACAGAGGAGGATACAAATTGATGACGTAAGACAGAGTGGTTACAGAGAAGGATACAAATTGATGACCTAAGACAGAGTGGTAACAGAGAAGGATACAAATTGATGACCTAAGACAGAGTGGTAACAGAGGAGGATAAAAATTGAATACCTAAGACAGAGTGGTAACAGAGAAGGATACAAATTGATGACCTAAGACAGAGTGGTAACAGAGGAGGATACAAATTCATGACGTAAGACAGAGTGGTAACAGAGGAGGATACAAATTGGTGACGTAAGACAAAGTGGTAACAGAGGAGGATACAAATTGATGATGTAAGACAAAGCGATAACAGAGGAGGATACAAATTGATGACGTAAGATAGAGTGGTAACAGAGGAGGATACAAATTGATGACCTAAGACAGAGTGGTAACAGAGGATTTTTGTGGTTGCTTATTACTCATAATTAGGGCTAATTAGCATTAATTATTATCGTACGTTTTAGCAACATCTCTGGTCAAGATTATGGCATTAATCATGTAATATATATATATATATATATATATATATATATGTATGTGTACCTAAAATTTGTTTAATTAAATTTAGGCCTTATCTGATAGCAATTCGGTTAAAAATGTTTTAATTTTAGATGAATTTATGAAGTTATCATCTATTAAACCACAAACCAGAAATTGTGTCGTACTTTTGTTTTCATTAGTAATTGTTTTGAAATCTTCAAACTTTAACTTTAATTGCCATCCTTCTGTTAAATCAACTGATAAATACACGTTCTATTAACGAGTTGTCGAACACTATCCGTGAATTGTCGAACACAACTCCGAGAGTAGCACGAGCTGTCGAGTGTTTCTTCTTTAACTTGTATCTTTTAGTCTTAACCTGTATACCCTTAGTTTACACCTCTTGTTATTGACTACTATACCCTAAATTTTAGCACTTTCATCTCCACAAGTATATCCTTAAATTTAAAAATTTTCGTCTCCACAAGTATATCCTTAAATTTAAACATTTTCGTCTCTACAAGTATATCCTTAAATTTAAACATTTTCGTCTTCACAAGTATATCCTTAAATTTAAACATTTTAGTATTCACAAGTATATCCTTAAATTTAAACATTTTTAGTATCCACAAGTATATCCTTAAATTTAAACATTTTAGTACCTACAAGTATATCCTTAATTTGAACAGTTTTGTCTCCTCCACTAGTATACCCTTATTTTGAACATGTTGGTCTCCACTAGAATATCCTTAATTTGAAGAGTTTTGTCTCCTCCACTAGTACTCTTAATTTGAACATGTTGGTCTCTACTAGAATATCCTTAATTTGAACAGTTTTGTCTCCTCCACTAGTATACCTTTAATTTGAACATGTTGGTCTCCAATAGAATACCCTTAATTTGAACAGTTTTGTCTCCTCCACTAGTACCCTTAATTTGAACATGTTGGTCTCTACTAGAATATCCTTAATTTGAACAGTTTTGTCCCCTCCACTAGTATCCTTAATTTGAACATGTTGGTCTCTACTATAATATCCTTAAGTTAAACAGTTTTGTCTCCTCCACTAGTATACCTTTAATTTGAACATGTTGGTCTCTACTAGAATATCCTTAATTTGAACAGTTTTGTCCCCTCCACTAGTATACCCTTAATTTGAACATGTTGGTCTCCACTAGAATACCCTTAATTTGAACAGTTTTGTACCCTCCACTAGTATACCCTTAATTTGAACATGTTGATCTCTATTAGAATACCCTTAATTTGAACATGTTGATCTCTATTAGAATACCCTTAATTTGAACAATTTTGTCTTTTCCACTAGTATACCCTTAATTTGAACATGTTGGTCTCTACTAGAATATCCTTAATTTGAACAGTTTTGTCTCCTCCACTAGTATACCCTTAATTTGAACATGTTGGTCTCTACTAGAATATCCTTAAGTTAAACAGTTTTGTCCCCTTCACTAGTATACCCTTAATTTGAACATGTTGGTCTCTACTAGAATATCCTTAAGTTAAACAGTTTTGTCCCCTTCACTAGTATACCCTTAAGTTGAACATGTTGGTCTCCACTAGAATATCCTTAATTTGAACAGTTTTGTCTCCTCCACGAGTATACCTTTAGTTTCAATAAAACATTGGTCGTAGAGCTAGTTTCTATAAAATTAATGAGTTTAATATATTGACTGAAATGATTTTAAATAAGTCCAAAGCCATACTCACGATAGAATGATTTATTATGCTAGTTTATTTCAACCCGCAGATTTTCGTGTTGGTAAACACGTGCTTAAAGCCATCTGGTGGTAGATCCAGTGTATCTAGGACATTTAAATTAATCAGGATTAGATGTTATCAGTGGCGATATCCTTAAATTCAGGTTTACAAATAACTATTAAATCTATCTGTGAACAAGATGTACAGTTGTTTTTCACTAACAGTCCATAGTATGCTTGATTCAAGCTGTTTAAAGTCGTTGACCTTTTCCAAATACAGAAGGCTGAAAAACGCTTTGTTGTTATTATGCACAAAAGATGGAATAGAAATGATTTTGAATATGCAAGTCAGCAAGTCAGGTGACAATGACAGCCGATATAAAGTTACGGTGGAACGGAATGTATCATAACTACATCTTGACATTGTTTGGCATTTCGCTGATAATGTACTGCCATCGAAAATTTATCACTTTTGTCAAGAGTATCTAGCAGCCCTTTCTGACGCAAAATATTAATAAACTCAGATCCAAAAGACTTACTCAGATCGAGGACTTAGAATTTAAGACAAAAATATCCTTTGTATTTAATAGCATTTGAAAAAAAAAAGGAGTATGAGATAACCTGGAGCAGCAGGACCACCCAGAAAGAGACTTGTGACAAGTCGAAACCCCAGCCGTGGTAAGCAAAATGAGGCAGCAGGTGAAAATCCACCAACACAAAGGTCAAAGTTCAGTAACGTATCGCGGGAAACAAAATAAACAAGGATCTCCGTCTGGTCACATGTACACAAGTTGCTTTCTGACATATCAAACTCAAGCAGCTGAAAAATGAAACGTCTACTCATGATGTTTTAAATAAAGAAATGTCGGTCAAGTTGCCGGGCATAGCGCTTATATATTTCTATGGGATCGGACTGTTTATACGGGCGATGGTAAACCATCGTCCTCGTATACATCAAAATGCTTATCGAAAGCACGAACGGAGTAGCGACGTACTTTTGACAATCTGTTTTAACAACAGTTTTGTTTTTGGAATTTCGCGCAAAGCTACACAAGGGCTATCTGCGCTAGCCGTCCCTAATTTAGCAGTGTAAGACTAGAGAAGGCAGCTAGTCATCACCACCCACTTCCAACTCTTGGGCTACTCTTTTACCAACGAACAGTGGGATTGACCGTCAGATTATAACACCCCCACGGCTGAAAGGGCGAGCATGTTTGGTGGAAACGGGGATTCGAA